GAGCCACAGTTTGCCGACCACTACACTAAGCCATACCAGCTGGATTGATTCTAAAATGTTTTGAAAATTAGCATTTCAGCATTCAAAATGCCTCTTTTTTAAAATATATTTTTATTGATTTCAGGGAGGAGGGGAGAGGGAGAGAGAGAAACATTAGTGATGATAGAGAATTATTGATCAGCTGCCTCCAGCACACCCCCTACTGGGGATCGAGCCTGCAACCTGGGCATGTGCTCTTGACTGGAATCGAACCCAGAACCCTTGAGTCCTCAGATTGATGCTCTAGCCACTAAACAAAACCACCTAGGGCAAAATGTCTCTATTTTAAACAAAATGTCATAAAGCATTAAAATGAGAAAATGTAAAAGTCTTAACATTTGTTTTATATTGTACTGGCACAAAGTATTACTTTCAATATAGGCCATATTTTTAATTTCAGAGGAATTTTCTCTGCTGACCTTTAAAAGGCAAATTTTTTTTCTATTTTTGAGTTTTCACCAGTATCAAATACTAATTTTATTGTCTGTGACTCACAGCAAAGGAAGTGTTCCTTTTTTGTAGATTATATTGATAATTTGACAATAAACTTTTTAAATTGACCAAGTTCAAGGTAGATATTGTATTTGTAAGTTACTCTTCTCAGCCAACTCTATTATGAACTTTAAGGGTTTTATAATTTTTTAAAAACCTGTTCTTGACTGACATGCAAGCCTTCCATAATTACATGTCACCGTGCAATCCTTACGCAATGGGCCTGTGGTTTTCCAAATTTAGTACAAAGCATGTAGTTTTATCAGTGAGTTGAGATTTAGTCTTGTTCTCCTTTGATTCCATAAATGGTTGTTCCAACTTCAAAAAGGGCCACCTAATTTACAACTATTCTCTATTTTTTTTAAGAGTGAGAAATAACACAAATATTTGACATGCTGACAAGAGAACTTCAGCAACTTTCTCCCTGCCATGAAATATGTCACTCAGAAGCCCCGTTTCCTATCCCTAGACTTTCTAGATGAGTCTAGAAACAAACTCTGAGAAATGTCTGCCCATGAAGTTACAAGTGTTGACAAAACCCGAGTGATGGCTCTGGGAATGGAGGGTCGGAAGGACTGATGCCACACATATATATTCGTCCCGGAAATAGGAGGCCCATATTTTCAAATATTCCAATGGAACCCTAGAGTTAGACTTTACTGTGTTGAAAATGGTATCCTCCACTTGAAGATGTTAGCATAAATTCCATGTTGAATCAAACCTATAATCCATAATAACTTCCTTGGTAGAAGTAACTCAGATCAACAGACTGGCATGCTCTTAACTAGTTGAAAATACAAATGATCAAAGACACCTTTTTGACTAGTTATGCTCAATATTTTCCCTCCATAATTAAAGTTAAAAGCATCTCAGCAACTTCCCCCTTTTAAAATCCATAGCTGTCTTCAATAATCACATGCATTATTCTGGCTTTTTACTTCTTCACTTCTGCTTGTAGTGACATACTGTTGCATTAGGTAAGACCATTAATTTTGGTTGTACAGTCTCACTTGGTTACTTTTTATTCGTATAAAATTATCAGGAAAGGCTTTTAAAGTTATATTTTTGCCTGGGGAAGGTGGGGTGGGGTAGGACACCACCTTTAAAGTCATTATTCTGCCTCTCATATTCGCTAACTGTTGTAAAGGTTGTAGGTGCCAGGCAATTCCTCCGGGAAAACTGAAATCTAATACTCCTATTAGGAACTCCCAACTAAAACTGGGCGCTGAAACTGCTGCTGGCAGCAGGGGTGCGGAAACGCGCTGCTCTTCCTGCCTAGGATATACGGTACAGGGGTACAGGGGTTGGCCCTGGCTCGGTCCACCTGCCAGCGCCGTTTAAAGTTTCTGAGGCTCGCAAGAACACAATGACTTGGATCAAACGGCCTAAATGGCAAGAAGGGTGTTTCTACTGCATCCAGGAAGCCCTTAAACTCCTGCGGACCACCTCCTTGCAGGCGTCCACGCGCTCGCCCGCCCTCCTCTGTCACTGACCAGAGACGATTTCTGAGGATCCCTTGAAAGCCTGGCGCTTTATGGCTGGAAAATGAAAGGACGCCGGAGTGTGGCCACATCATTATTTTGTGTCGCGCGGGACCAGATGGGCAGCCAGTGAATGGCGCAGGGATGTGATGGACAGTTTTATAATGTGATTTCCCCTCAGAAAGCTAAAGCCGGCTTCCTTTCCCTCTATTTCCTCTCGGTCTGTAGTACTTGCGTTCTCCCCCGCTCTGCAATATCAATTAACTCAACTTCGCCGTGGAGTGGCCAAGAGGGAAGAGGGTGAATTGGTCTCTCTCATCTCGGTCAGAGCCGGAGGAGTGACGGCGACCAGGGGACTGCGGCGGGACCCGGAGCGGAGCGCCCCGTGCAGATCGCAGGGTGGGTACGCGCAGGCGGTTATGGAGCGGACGGTGCTCTGGACCCACCGCGGATAGACACCCCGGCGGCCGGAGGGGCCCTCTGACCTCGGGGCTGACTTAGCAGCCGCTGCCACCTCGCAGCCGCAGCGTTTTCCTGCCATTATCACCGCTCTTGAGAAGTCATGGAAGACGCGACAGTGCCAGACCTCAGAGACATCGAGCTGAAGCTGGGGCGCAAAGTGCCGGAGAGCCTAGTGCGCTCGCTGCGCGGGGAGGAGCCGGCTCCCCTGGAAAGGATCAGGGACCCCTGTGGGGGGAGCGGCGGCGGTGGTGGCGGCTGTAGTAGCAGCAGCAGCTGCTGCAGCCTCCCTCCCTCCTGGTCGTCCTCCTCTTCGTCCTCCCCAGCCTCGGGCTCCCCAGGAAGACGGAGCCACTCCAGCACCCTGGAAAGGCTGGAAACCAAGCTGCACCTCCTCAGGCAAGAGATGGTGAGTGCGGTGCGCCCGCGGGGGGCACGGGCGCCTCCCTGGCAAAATGCAGAGATCGGAGATGGGAAGGTAGGGCCTGGGGGAGAGGGTGGCCAGGGCTGCAGGGGTGGGTTCCGGTGCGTGGGAAAAGAGGGGGAGAGGAGCGCACAGGGGGTGCAGGTCTGGAGGCAGCCGCTGCAAGGCTTGTTTACCCCGGACTTTGCTCGGTTCACGGTTCGCCAAGAGAGCAGAGCCTGCTCTGTTCTGTGCACTTTGATTGCGAGGACTTGGTGCTCCCTGGCTGCGTCCATTTAGCGGCCAGAGCGCAGTCCTCCCGGGCACCAATCCCCCGGGTTTGCGGTTACTACCGAAGCATCGGGGGCCTGCTGCGAGCCATTCACACTTGAGGTTCCAAAAGGTGGCTCAGGCCATTGCGCTGATTACGGAAACACTTCCGGGTTTGCGGAGAGGTGGCGCCGCGGGGTGCCTGCAGCCTGGCTGCCTGACTTGCTCGCTCGCTCCTCTCCCACCTCCATGGCCCCCGCCCCTTGGTGCAGCTGCTGTTCCGAGGCCACTGTTGAGCCGATTCTCCACAGCTGGTTCGGAAAACAATGGCCCACTCGTCCTGTCCTTGATGTTCTCATGAATAGCTTGCTACACTGTTTTGATCCAAGAGAGCAGGTGATCTCCAGGCCCAGGGATTTGCTAATAACCACTTCCTACCCTTCCCCCTCAGTCCTCAATCTGCAATTGTTTTCTGTGCTCTTTGCAAATGTTAGCCCAAGAAAGGGAGGGTGGGAGGAGGACAGGGACAGGGAACACTCCTTATTCCGGATGGATTTAGATAAAGGCACTTGCCATAAGCTCTTGTGCAAGTCACTTCGCTGTGGCCTGGGTGTATTTGTACAACGAAGTGGTTGGAGGAAATGATTCCTTCCCAAATATTTTGAGGAAAATGACAACAAATCGACAGTATTATCTACCAGGTTGGGGAGAAGGACAGTTGCAACAGGGGCCTAATCGAAGGATGGTTGGAAGGATTTTCTACATTAAAAAGAAGTAACCGGAGGTGTTTCCCTCCTCTCTTTCTGCAGTTGGAACACTCTGGAGGGAATGGATTCCACAGCCTAAAGTAATCTTGGCAATCATATGAGCACAAAAAGCCAGTCTTCAAGATCTGTCCCATGTTCAGAATTTTCAACACATGAAGGCTCTAGGAAACACTAAAAACCTCTCTCAAGTTCTTTAAAGCCATTTTATATTTTGTATGTCTCAAGTATTCATTTTCTCCCTACATGGAATGCCCAGATGTTTAAAAAAATATATAGTTATAGCCCTAGCCCCATGCCTCAGTTGGTTGGAGCATCCTCCCGTACACCAAGAGGTTGTGGATTCAATCTCCTGTCAGGGCACATACCTAGGTTGCTTCAGGTTTCATCCCCAGTGGGGGCCCATTTGGGAGGCAACTGATCCATGTTTCTCTCATATCCAGGTTCCCCTCTCTCTTTCTCTGTCCTTCCCTCTTTAAAAATGGCGAGTTATGGGGGGAAAAAAGAGGAACAAATGTAATAATCTGAACAATAAAGATTTAAATAAAATATATATTTAAAAATAAATAAAATAAAAATAAATAAAAATATATCCTCAGGTGAGAAGTATATATATACACATGTGTTTGTGTGTGCATGCACGCACATGAATGGGTAGTTGTATGTGTATATATTCATACATCATGTGTAATGCAAATGATTTTATACTATATTTATGTTTCACTGTCCAGATACACAGGTTATACAAATTAGTTATTCAACAAGTATTTATTAAGCATTTATTATACCTGTTAAGTAACTGGCTGCTGAAAGTACAAAATGAAAAAGTCAAGGAGCCTCTCTATTAAGGCTCTACAATTTCTTGTACTCATTTGCCATTTATTATTTTTAGTATATCAAGCCAAATGTGTTCGTAACTCCATAGGTTTAAAAAAAAGCATCTGGTTATTAACAACTAAAGACACTACTAAGGAGGAAAATTTCCTCCTATTCTTCTAGGTTCTTTGGCTGGTCTAACAAGTAAATTGACATAAGACAGATTAACAGGGGAAAAACAAATTTGATTTCTTATGTAAGGTAACTCCAATAAAATGTGAGACACAAGGTCAAGTTAGGCAGTTGAGGCTTATTTGCATCTCTGAGAAAAGTAATGGAATAGGGCCCTAGGGCTTCAAAGGGGAGAAAGGTAATTCTCAGGCCAAGAAGAAGAGCAGATGTTTGGAAATTAGATGTTTGCCTGGCTCACAGACGGGTTGTTCAGATAAAAGTTATCTCTGGTAATAGCTCTCTTTCTGAACCAGGCCCCTATCTACATTCTTTTAGGTAGTTAAGGGAGAAGTAAAAATTTTTCTCCAGCCTGCTGGGTCTTGATTGTCTTCAGCCCAGAATAATCCAAATTCCAAAGTGGTATATATAGAGGTCATGTATTCTGTTCCTCTTCAACACTTTCCAGATATATCTGTTTTTCTTAATGAAAATGTTATAGAGTTAACCCCTTCCCCGGCAGAAACGTGTATACACGTTTTCACAAAATGTTCTTTTTTCAGTCGTCGACGAGTATACTCGTCTAAAACTTTACCTTCAAAAACCAGCTACATACGTACCATTCTAAATAATTTCATCTAGAAACTTTCTGAGGAAATACTATTCTTAACCACAAAAATGGGAAGAAAAAATAATTACAAACTGTTTTCATAACCAGCATCAAAAATACTATATAGAACCAAAATAAAAAAAATTAGTCTGAAAAAGAAACGTTTTTAACAAAAAAATTGTTGGGGAAGGGGTTAATAAAAATCTACTTCCCCAAACCAGATCTTGCTATGTGCAATGATTATGGTATCTTAATATATAAACTTTAAAAAGCAAATAGAAATAGTAACAGCAGAGGCACATTGCTAAATTGACTATTCATTATATTTTCTATGTGAAGCATCTATGCACTTAGGAGAATTCATGCCAGAACAGATGTCTTGTGTTCCATTTTGTACTCTAATAAAGGTCTCCATTGAGCACATGATAACACTGGCGATGAGACGTGAGAGAGAAGGGACTGAAAACAAGTATATTCCCTGGCCAATGAGAGAGTTTCCCCCCATTTTGCATAACTCTCTGGGTGCCCAGCTTTAGCATAGTTGCAAAGCAACAGATTTGTTTTCATGTAGACTTGGCAGTTTTCTCATAAACACCGAACAGATGTAGTTCTTCCTATCTTCCCCTAGTGTCTCCACATAGAGAGGCTGAGCATGATCTCTTAATCATGATTTTTATGTCCTTGTCTATCCTCTACCATGAGCATTGAGTTAACCTTCTTGGTATTATGCATGACCCCATATTTCATGCTCATTATTTTGAGTTGTTCATAGATTTTTCTTCTGGATAGTGTAGAATTATCAGGCTTTGATCTTGCCTTCATAACTCCTTCCTAAGATATACCTTAGCCATGCACACACCTTTCTAGAGACTTCTAGGAAATAGCCTCCTTTTCCTATTAGAATGGATGTGTGTACCATGGACACAATACAGCATAGCCTTGCAGGGAAGTAGTCTTAAATTCTTTACATACACATGACTTTATCATTGTCTCTCTCTCATCTCCTTTTATGCTTTTATGAATAATTTCCTTAACTCTTATTAGTTAATGTTATAATCCATGCTCATAGAGGCCTGTGAAATGCATTGTAATGGAAGAAAGTTGAAAAAGATTGAACAGGGGGGAGAATCTGTTTCTGTGATCAAATTTCTTAATGTCGAAACTCTTATTAACAACATAAATAGCACCATACATAATAGAGGTGTAGGAAGGAAAATATTGCAAAAGACATTTTTCAGGAATATATTTGATATGACAGGCCAATTCAAGGTAACCATCAGGATGTCTGGGGGAGGGAGAAAATTTTTCCAATGTGTAAAGTATTTTGATTTTTAATTTAAAGATGAGGAAATTTGACAATACAATAAAAAATGAAGAGATACACATAGGAAATATATGATAAAATTGGAAATAGATTTCAGACCTCTTGTGCAAATTATGCCCAATAATATTTGTTCACTACTTTTCAGTTCACAGAGTGTTTTAATATCTGTCATATCATTTGCGTAAGACCATACTGGGAAAGGAATTCTTTTCTTTCATATTTTACAAATGTGATCATTGTGGCTTAGAGAAGGTTGAGAAAGCAGGCCAAGGTCACAGAGCTAATTAGTGGACAGAATCACAACTTAACTCATATCATCTGAATCCATGTACTGTGTTTTTATGACCATTCTGGTCTGTATCCCAATAATTTCCCTTCAAAATATAGTTTTTATACATCTGTAATATGTTACCACCCCCTAAAATACTAAGAGACCAATCAAAAGAATTCCTCAGGATGCATGCCAGGGGTTGTTTCAGACAGGAGTTCATTCAATAATCAACAAATATTTATTGAGTGCCTACTATGTACCAGGTCTGCCTCAAGACCTTGGGAATATGGAACAAAATGCCTACTTTAAAAAAAGCCGGCCATCCAAGGTCTGTTATATTTGAAATTTTCTTCCTACTCTCTATGCAAAGACTCCTTTTGTTGGAGGGGGGTGGCACCAATACATTGTTATGAGTATTATACTTCTTTCAGCGCGTAAAGATTCCTTTTGAAACATTTTCTCAAAAGTGGGTCTTTAAACATTACTTATCAAATAGTATTACTCCAAGTTCTAGACTATCTCAGAATATCCAAATATTTTCCAATAATTATAAACAATCTTGGTCAGAACCTGCATTTGATTTCTTAGTGATTAATTTTATATTGCACTTTTACAATATGTGTAAAGAGTTTTAGTGCTACTTCAATGCGTCCATTTCATACATCTAGCTTGAGCGTGTAAATTATCTACATCAATTTACTCTGGAAGAAATTTGAAATGCAGGAGATTATAAAAGCAATTACTAAAGAACAAGAACCTGGACTCAGAAGGAGTCTAATACAC